ACACACACACACACACACACACACATACAAACACGCACACACGACGCACGCACGCACGCACGCACGCATACACATAGGGTATTCCAAACTCTCCTCTGCAATTTTTGTAGGAACATAGAACGGATTGAGATGAACATAAAAGTCCTATGTCGTTTTACGATATTTGCAATAAATCTCGAGATATTAATTAAAGAAGATTGGTAAATGATCATACACGATATGGTAGATGAGCTATAATAATGTCATCTGTCATTGTGTACTTATACATTAAGTTAAACTGAACAAAAATGTCCTTTATCATTTTGCAAATAAATACATACATTTTTAGATGTTAATTAAAGAAGATTTATGCATTATCGCGCACAGTCATGTAACATTTTCTTTCATTAATAACTAAAAATCTACGTGGTTATTTGCAAAATGATAAAAAGCTTATTTTTCAATTTGACTTAATGTACAAGTATACAACAACACATATACCATGCCGTACGTGTTATTGTTACTAATATTTAATTAATATTTAATTAATATCTCGACTTATTGCGCATATCGTAAAACAGTAGGATTTTTATGCTCACCTCAAGCCATTCTATGTTCCCACAAAAATTGTGGAAGAGAATCTGGGACACCCTGTGTATATATGTAATATATATATATATACACACACATATACGCATATGTGTGTGTGTGTGTGTACATATACATATTTACTATTTTCTTTGCGTACTTTTATGTGCATACCATTGATGCCATTAACAAATCGAAAAGCTGCATTTTGTAACATCATAAACAAAAGGACAAATCGCGTGCACGAGGAAACAATCTCAAGGGGCCTTGTTGCAAATAATTCGTTGTGTCTTGTCGTATGATCCATAGTTTTGTCGGCTGATCTTCCGTTTTCCTCCTGAGCTGCTTTCCGGTAACACCTATATACTAAAGTATTTATCCGCGCACGTGTTACGACTTACTGTGGCAGTTCTTCTCGTCCACACCGTTGGTGCAATCTATCTGGCGATCACATAGCCAGGTCTTCGGAATGCACTCGCCTGGGCTGCATTGGAATTCCGTTTCACTGCACGGTATCGTTCCTTTTTTTCAATTGAATATTTCTAATTAACGACTTTTTCACGTAAAACGCAATCAACCTCGTGAGATATGTTTATTTTATTGATATTAGAAATACTAATTACATGAATACCAATACAAAAAAATTTTCTAATGGTAATATTTAAAAGATATATAAAAAACTGAAAAATGTCTAAACACTTTTTATATATTTTAAGAACCTTTTACATATTTGTATAATGTATGTAAATTACTATATTACTGAAGATACATTATTTCACATAGCTATATGCAACTTTAAAGACTCGAATTTCACGCTATAATGTAGTTCCTAGTATGCACACAGTCCTTTATGTGTAAATTATTTTCTGAACACGCACAACAGTATTTTACATTAGAAACAGAAAATACATTACATTATTATACTTATTATACAGAATTTCTTTTGATCTGGCAATATTGTCAAAGTGATAATGATAAAATGTACTTTATCATTATAAAATCTTTCTTATATTATAATACACAGAGCGTCTGATACAAGGCGTACAAAACCACATGTGAAGATAGAGCACATCAACCTGAACACGAGAACCATTTTACAAACCATAAAATTTCGAAATATTAATGAAAAAAGATTGACAAACCAGAGCGCGCGATGTGCTCTATAAACGCAAGATTTCATCTGGCTAAAATGCGATTGTCTCTCAATACAGAAGGATATCGGCTGATAACACAGGCTTGCAAATTTCACCCAAGAAGTACGTAATTACGAAGTATTCTCATATGTTGAAATCAAATCCGATTATTATTATTATTACTATTATTTTTCTTTATTAAACTATCATTATAGATTTTTTTCGTATAGAATTCGAACCTATTGCCCAAATTAACATATAAACCATTTATATTAACATTTCAAAGTTGTATACATTTATAAACGTCAAAAAATAGCCATTTTAATACTTTTAGGTTAGGACATTTCCGAAATCTGACGTGATGAAAAAATTTGGATGACGGATTCGGTTTCAATCAAAACCTTCGAAATCACGTACTCTCTGCTTCTTGGGTTCTGAAAAAAGCTATCTTTTTGCATGTCTCTGTAATTGAAGGCGAGGTATGGTTATGAGCAGCGCGGAGATAATTGTTTTCTCACGTATCGCAAACGTCGTGCGCATATTGCTAAGAAACAGTCACATTTTAGCCATTTTAAATTAGATCCCGTGCTAACAGAGCTCATCCCACAACGTCGCGCACTCTGATTCGCCAAACTTCTTAATATCTCGAAATTTCACGTAGTCGTTTGCAAAATGCCAGAAGAAGAATCTCGTGCTCAAGACATGCTCGAACTTCACACATGGTTTTGTACATATCTTGCGTCAAACACCCTTGTTGTGTGTGTACAGTGTTGTAACGCATCTAGATACTTTTTGTGTATCTATATCTGTATCTAGTTACATCTTATCTCGTATATGTATCTAAATTTGTCATTTTAGATACAAATACGAAATAAAATGCAATTTTGGTGATTTTATATATAATTGTTACTTTTCACAAGAGACAAAGTTGTTCCCATAGTGTAAGAATATAAAGTGATGCACTCTGGTGGATGCGCAGTAGCTACCAATCAGAAAGTTGCCACAAATGCGAAAAACTTAATGGCTCACATCAGACGTAACGTTAACATAGTATATTTTGTGGTAACTTTCTGATTAGTTCTACTCCCACCTCCATGATACGCAATAAAACACCTTGGCCGCGTTCCGTTTCACGTATATGCGCGCATTTATCTATAGTTCACATCACGTATACTGTAGGGAATACGCGTATAATGTGTGAAACGGAACGCAACCCTTATATTCTTACACCATGGTTGCTTTATTGGGTGTGTTCAGCGAACTCAACAGTTGCACAACAGTTGAATAATTTGTCAATGTAATTGGTCTAGATTTAGGGATCTAACAATAAGAACCAGTAATCGTTGATTGCTCACTGAGCGCTTTTTCCGCTGAACGCGCCCATTGAGTGCATTCAGTACTACAACCGCTAACTGACCGCTCAGTGAGCTCCTGTATCCCATTGGCATATTCTTTTAGATCTAAAAATATGTACCAATGAAATGTAAGAGCTTACTGAACGCTCTGCAATCGAAATATCTGAAATATCTAAAGAGATTTACATACATTCTCAAAGTATCTGTATCTACATCTAGTTATTCATGAAATTTGTATCTATATCTTCAC